GAAGGAAGTGCCAGAGAAACGGAGGAAAAAGGCATGAAAATACAAAGATTATTAAAGTGACTCCGGAAAAAGCTGGGGTGGGTGAGTTTACAGTTAGGCACCTGCCACAGCTGCAGGTAAACCACAAAGACTTGCAGGTCATTCGTTGCCTATTCTGTTTGCACAACAGTGTAAAGCCTCTTAATCATTACCTTTACACTCTGCATGCATACTTGTACTCAACATTATTTTGGTTGTCTTTTTCTCAAGGTTACAGTGTGTTGGCTACAAAATACTATTGGGGGCTGAAGTGTAACCTCATCTCTTCTAAATTAGCCCTAAACCACAGAACTAATAAATACTGAAACTCGCTAAAGGCCTTTTTCAGGAAAATGTTCTGTGGGACATGGTTCACAAACACTGTCCATATTAATTCCTGTTATGTACTCCATATAATAGGTCTAGATTAATTTCAATATGTATTACAAATGGCAGCTACAATCAAATCTGAATATGAAGCACCTATAAACACGTTGAAAACAGCTGCTGTTGTAGGTCTTTACTGTAGAAAAGATGCATATAGCTATGTAGCCTAAGAAAAGAGAAAACCCTGTGGCCATTTTACTGGCTGCTTCACAGTGAGAAGCAAAAATCCTAGACCTTGAACATCTGGTGATTGTCAGCTAGTCGCTTCTGCTAAAAGATAGGCCAGACCAAGTGTAAAATATATCCAAGAATTCACCTCTTTTCATTAACCCTTAACTCCTACACCCTTTAGCATGAGAATAGTGCCCTACAGCATAGTTCTTGCATGGTTTTGGATGCTCTAAATGTTTCTGTTACTGACACATTTTTATAACTGCACTTCTGTTACTCCAGGTCTTCGTTTCTGAGGGAATTTTTAAGCAATTAACATTCTTTGTCATTTTATAATAGACAAACCATAGTTATCATACTTGGTAACATACTTCCTCCTTCTCTAATGTGCTGTATGCATACGTGGAATGTTTCTGTTAAATAGGCACACTGGGAAGGCTTTACCTCTGGTGAACGTGGTAAACCTCAGGATCCTGGTAACCCTGCAGCATTTCCTAAAAGTGTCTTCAGAAAAGCAGACAGAGTCTCTCTTTCACTTTGTATTTATTACTCTGAATCACTAGCAGTTGCTTTTATCTGTTTAGCAATTTCTCTCATTTATAGCTCTGAACTACTCTCAGGTGAATCTTAAAAACAAAAGGTGTTTGAGCAACATAATTGTGATAAACAAATTTACCTTTAAAGTTAAAATTAAGAGGAAATCTAACCTGATTTTTAATACACACTTTTGCATGGGAAGGTGCAAGAATCCAAGCAACCACTATTCCTGGGCACACATATGCCTCATGAAGACATTGTCATTCCAGCCCTCTTTTATTTTATGACCAGTTTAAGCTGAACTTGTTAAGAAATTGTTAGTTATTAGGTACCCCACATAGGATTGTCTTGCGTATTGTATTTTTCAGGATAGCATGTAGCCCGTATCTATCAAATAGTTTTCATGTATGATTTCAAGAATGTCTCTTAGATCATGGGAGATACTAGGCACACTTTTAAGACCTGGTTTAGTATGTCAAGGATGTTGTCTGGGAAGCTAGGGACCAGGTTAGGAAAGCTAAGGCCCAGTTATAATTAAACTTGACTAGGGTTGTTAAGGATGACAGGAAGGGATTCTGTAGGTATGTAGCGAACAAAAGACAGACTAGGGACAACATAGGCCCTCTCTGGAAGCTATCAGGAGAAGTGGCTGCCCTGGATTTAGAGAAGGCTGAGGTTCTCAATGACTTCTTTGCCTCGGTCTTCACTGGCAAAGGCTCTGACCACACCACCCAAGTCTTGGAAGGCAGATGCAGGGACTGTGAGAATGAAGACCTTGGGCCCACTGTAGGAGAGGATCTGGTTCGAGACCATCTTAAGAACCTGAACGTACAGAAGTCCATGGGACCTGATGAAATCCATCCACGGGTCCTGAAGGAGCTGGCGAATGAAGTTGCGAAGCCGCTGGCCATCATATTTGAGAAATCATGGCAGTCAGGTGAAGTTCCTGATGACTGGAAAAAGGGAAATATAACCCCCATTTTCAAGAAGGGGAAAATGGATGACCCGGGGAATTACAGACCAGTCAGTGTCACCTCTGTGCCTGGCAAAATCTTGGAGCAGATTCTCCTGGAAGGCATGCTAAGGCACATGAAAATCAACAAGGTGCTTGGTGACAGCCAGCACGGCCTCAGTAAGGGGAAATCCTGCCTGACCAATTTGGTGGCCTTCTGTGATGGGGCTACAGAACTGATGGACAGGGGTAGAGCAGCTGATGTCATCTACCTGGACTTGTGTAAAGCGTTCGACACTGTCCCACACAACATCCTTGTCTCTAAATTGGAGAGACATCAATTTGATAGGTGGACCACTCGGTGGATAAAGAACTGGCTGGATGGCTGCACACAAAGAGTTGTGGTCAATGGCTCAGTGTCCAGCTGGAGACCAGTAATGAGTGGTGTCCCTCAGGGATTGGTGTTGGGACCGGTCTTGTTTAACATCTTTGTCTCTTACATGGACAGTGGGATTGAGTGCGCCCTCAGCAGGTTTGCCAATGACACCAAGCTGTTGATAACCCTGGAGGGAAGGAATGCCATCCAGAGGGACCTCGACACACTTGTGAGGTGGGCTGATGCCAACCTTATGAAGTTTAACCATGACAAGTGCAAGGTCCTGCACCTGGGTCGGAGCAATCCCAGGCAGAGCTACAGGTTGGGCAGAGAAGAGATTCAGAGCAGCCCTGCCGAGAAGGACTTGGGGGTGTTGGTCGATGAGAAAATGAACATGAGCCGGCTTCAGTGTGAGCTCGCAGCCCAGAAAGCCAACCGTATCCTGGGCTGCATCAAGAGAAGCGTGACCAGCAGGTCAAAGGAGGTGATCCTGCCCCTCTACTCTGCTCTTGTGAGACCTCACCTGGAGTATTGTGTGCAGTTCTGGTGTCCTCAACATAAAAAGGACATGGAACTGTTGGAACAAGTCCAGAGGAGGACCACGAGGATGATCAAGGGACTGGAGCACCTCCTGTATGAAGATAGGCTGAGAAAGTTGGGGCTGTTCAGTCTGGAGTAGAGAAGGCTGTGTGGAGACCTCATAGCAGCCTTCCAGTATCTGAAGGGGGCCTATAGGGATGCTGGGGATGGACTATTAGGGACTGTAATGACAGGACAAGGGGTAACGGGTTAAAACTTAAACAGGGGAAGTTTAGATTGGATATAAGAAGGGAATTCTTTCCTGTGAGGGTGGTGAGGCACTGGAATGGGTTGCCCAGGGAGGTTGTGAATGCTCCATCCCTGGCAGCATTCAAGGCCAGGCTGGACAGAGCCTTGAGCGACATGATTTAGTGTGAGGTAGCCCTGCCCATGGCAGGGGGGTTGGAACTAGATGATTTTAAGGTCCTTTCCAATCCTAACTATTCTGTGATTCTATGATTCTATGTCACTCTTGCCAAACCTCCAAGTGATGAACACATTTTGTAACAGCAATGCCCAATGTTCTGCTTTGGCTGACGCGTGAGAGAATGGTACGGGTAAAGGGCTTCAAGTGGCCAAGACTTCTGGAAGTTGAAAGTTTTTTTTGACTTAAGAAAATGAACTATGACTTGTGTCATGTTTACTGTGAAACAGAGATGCCAAGGTCTTGCAAGAAGAGGAAGTACAATGGTGATTTCACAGGCTATCCATTAGTGATAAATACTTGAAGTGTCGTATCACCATTTAGGATACTCTACTAAAAACTACATCTCACTGTAACAAAAACCAAATAAAAAAGCGCAAGACAGTTTTTATTAAAGATAAAATGCAAAACGAAACTCATGTTTACAAGCTTTGTTTTAGGACGGTTATTGTTAAAAGCAATGCACTTCTCATTTCAGAGAAAATGGAACTATTTTTTTTTTCAATATTCCTAGAAGAACCCCACACCCCCTGAACTGACATTCGCAGGATAACTTTTCCTTGCAAGATTACTTTTGATTGAAGTATTTACTTCTTATTAATATTGTCATTCAAATATATTGATTTGCTTATGTAGGCATAGTATTAAAGTAGATAAGCAAAGTTTTTCATTCCAAAATGGTCAAAATGGCATTTGTCGCTTCTTTTAGAGAAAAGGATTTCATTACGTTTCCACGTACTATGTTCAGTTAATCGGACACCCCCAGCACCGTAGGTCGTGCCCGGTTACCTGACTGTGACTTCCCCAACAAACTACACCCGTGCTCTGGGTTCCTTTGGGGAAATCGGAGGAGTCGGGAGGCACCTCATCGGCGTGTTCACTTTCCCGAGGGAACCCACGGGGAGACGGGGCCTGCTGGGTTGTAGCCGCGGTCTTGGCGGGACGGAGGACCCCGGGGCCGAGAGGCGCTCGGCTGCGTTCCGCCTTCGAGGCGCCTCAGCACCACCTGCCTGGCCCGGCGGCCCCGCCTCTCACCGGGACTCGTGCCGCGGTCTGCCCGTGCCGCCGGCGGCCAGGAGATGGCGGTGGAGCCCGCAGGAGCGGCTCGGCACGTTCTCCGAAGGCGGCTGAGAGGGGCGTGGGGCAGAGCCGGTGCCCACCCGGCTGTGGATGCTGTGCGGCCACACGGGCTCTGCCGCGGATGGGCCCGCCCGCCGCTTCCTCTTCCCCCGCTGGCCCGGCGCCCCGCGGCGGGTGAGCGCTGCCAGGGGACGCGGCCGGGGGAGCGCTGGTCTCCTCCTTTCCGTCCCGTCCAGAAGGGCCTGAGCTCCGCGCAGCCGGATTTCTCCCGCGTCACGGCAGGGAAAGGTCGGGGCAGGAGGCGGCTCGGAAGGGGAATCTGCCGCCAGCTCCGACACTTCGCCCCTGCCCCTCCCTCTTCCCCAGCGGCCTTCACCCAGCGCGAGGCACGGAAGCTGGGGCTGGGTGTAACAGGCCCGGTGCCCGGTTAAGAAGGGAAGTTCACTGCGGGCCAGAGCGGACACCTGCCCGTGGCCGATTGCAACCACTCTTTATTGCCACGAAACGCAGCCCTCCCGGCGTTGTTCGCAGCTACATCCTTAGCCTTAGAGGAAGCAGCGAGTACAAAGTAATACCCTGTTCTTGGCTGGCGTGCTATGCCATGGGTGAGTGAGTGACTGTCGGCAGACGTCTGAGCAGGTGCTGTGGCTGGGCAGGAGCGAGGCAGTCAGCCGGTTCACTTCGTGGTGTCCGCCCAGTTGTTGGTAGGCTGCGTTCCGTCGAAGACCCAGTGCAGCTGTTCTTTTGATCCTCCTAAGAAATAAGAGCCTGGATTTAAAATAAAGGTCCAGTTCAGAAGATAACGTGTGAAACATCATAGTGAGTCTTCCCCTCTTCCTTACAATGGACACTCAGTCCTTGAAGGGCCTCTCTCAAGTCCTAATGGGTTATCTCAGTAATCTTACTTCAGTGCCACCTGCCCTGGGCAAATGCACAGTGTCGCCACTGTAAATCACAGCCAATTGCATACACCAGTTAACATGCAGTTTTGGCTCCCACCTTCTCCAGCAAGTAATCTTAGAAATTGAATGGTCACCATTCCTATACAAATAGGAGGCTTCTTACTGAAAACAGAAGTACACAAAGTTGGCAGTTCTCATGTCCAGAAAACTTACTAGCTTCTTGCATACTACTGCTTTATGAGCCAGTTAGAAGAATCAAAACTGTGAGGGTTTTGGGAATCTCAGGAGTCTTACATTAACTTGTTTTCCTGTAAATGATCCAGAACTGTTCTTGTAGAATAGGAAGTTTTTTTTTGAGTATTTGATCCTTGCAAACCAGATTGATTTAGTTATGTGTAGTACACATATTTCAGTTAATAAGAATGACATCCTTGAGGAGATCTTCCCAATGCAGCTTAGAGAATATGCTGTTGTTACACTAATGATTACATAGTTGGGTTGAGAAAACAGCAGTAAGTGTTACAATAAAGATATGTGAGAAAGTTACATTTCTTCAATAGGTAAATGCAAATATTTTGGGAGATGACAGTTGTCTTTCCAAGACACAGTGCCCCAAAACACTGGAGCACTTTTGCATTCCTGAGATAGGAGGCAACATGTGTGTTAAGTACTAATATTAATTATTACTATTATTAATTAAATAATATTTTGAATACCTCAGCTCTGTGTCTGCTTTGTTCTTGCTGTTGTAGCTTTCAGCTTCATTCCAAGTGGGAGAGTTACCGGGAGGCTGCTTATTTTGGGGATTCTTCACTATGTTGAAGTGGAAGTGTAGCTGAATAACTTGTAATTCCAGAGAAATGTATGCTGAAGACAATACAGGAAGTTAATGGAAAGCTGCAGCTTGTTGTAACCTACTGTATACTCCTGATTTTATGTTTTTATTATTTATTTTCTCCAGTGACTCAGCTTTTTTAATCCTCATGAAGTGCTTAAAACCCATTGGAGCAGTTAGAAGCCAGAACAGTCAGTACTTTCAGTGATGATTTTTATGCAGCTGTCTGCACAGGTGGGCTTTGTGAGCATATCAGAATAAGACGACTTTGTGTCATTGATCGATGTAAACCTCTTTAAAGTCTTACGCATTTTCTCCCTTGTCTTTTTGCATTAAGTGACAAGTGACTGATGGAAAATTAAATTGCTCTTATTTAGTCAGGGTGAGGAAGGCAGTGAAAAGCTGTGGCTCTCCCAACATTACATGGATTTTCAAACTTAAACTTGCGTGGCTGATAATAAAATACAGATTGGTTTGAACACAATGCTTAACTGAGTCATTTTAACAGGGGGAGAGGTGGTCATATTGCTTCTGTTCCACTACTTAAAAAAGGATTGTTGTCAGAATATCTAGAGTGTGTGAAGCAGAGGTTGCTTGAACATTACAGCTGTGTAACTGACCCCAGAATAAGTGCAGGAAGTGATTTATACAGTAATGTTATGAATGCCAAAATCTATTCAGATTATTGTTGCATATGCTTCCTGTTTTACTGTGTCCTTTGCAGTTGTTTGAGCCTTGTTTCGTGCCACCATTCTCAGAAGGTACTTTTTGAAAAGCAGCAGTGCCCTGTACATTGTTAAATAAAATGCCAGCCCATGCAGCAAAGTGCTAGGGAAAAATTACAGTTTAGAAGTTTGAATTACTCCAGAAAAGCAATTCCTTCTTGGTTTTCCCTGGTAGTACAATTCTCAGGCATGGACTCTTAAACTTTTTGGAATCTATTTATTCTTAGATTTTTGTATTATTTTTTTTTTTAAGGATATTTGTAACTGGATTGTGTTTGTTAGAAATGCAGGTGTGGTTTGTGATAGGCTTGCATTATGAGTCCTGTGGAATCCAAGCTTGAGGTGACAGCTATGAGGACAGCAGCAGTACAGTGATTCTGTACATTTTCAGTACAGCACACCAAAGTTAAATTTTTGACCTGCAATACAGTGAAAACTAGGAAGGTTTGGGATGACTTGTTCATATTTATTCTCATTTCTTTATGTTTCAGAGTGCTATGCCAGGTCATGATCCAGCATCTACTGTACTTACTGACTTCCCTGTTTGAATTAGGCTATACCTAACTGTATAGCTAGTGATACACTGTGCTGTAAACTGTACATGATCAGGTGACTGGATGCTATCTGATGTAAAAAATACACTTTCAACTTGGCCATTATTATTTCTAGGCGAACACTGAACTTACAGTATCAATCTTATGCTTTGGCTTTTTATCTTAGAGCCTAGGAGAAAGAGAGGGAGCCAAGTGTAAAACACATAATTTCTGCTGATCAAGATCAGCAGCAGGGTACAAGGAAAGAGACAATTTCTTCTGAAACAACCCAATAGGAAAATCAGACATCTCCACTAAAGCAAATTGGATGGGTATGCTGCGTTTCCTCCCTCTTATTTTGATGTTATTACTAGTGAATAACTAGGATTTTGCATTGGTCACTTTTCTGAAGAAACAGATGTCTGTTACCTTAAGCATAGAAATGAAGAGAAGAGAGGGCTATGCGGTACTCTTGCTGGTTCACTACACTCAGAGGGCTAGGAGCTTTTGAGTCTTAAGATAGTGGGCTCTGATTTATGCTATGCTAGGTAAACTAGTTATTAACTGGCAGAGCCCTAATGTCTAAGTACTAGTCCAGTATAACCTGTCCCCATCAAGTCATGCGTGCAGGTGTGTATGTATTCTGAAGGGGGACGGGAAGAGTACCGCACAAGAACCTGACCTCCAACTGTACAGAAGATAGGCATTCCTCTCCCCTCTGGTGGAGAAATCAAGGAATTTAAACATGATATGACCTTGTTGCTAAACAGTCACTGCCAGAGAACACAAAATTGGGCTGATCTGCAAGGAAAGGTGACCTCGGAGCTACACAACTGTCCTATATTAGAGCTGACTTTGAGCTAAAACAACTAAACCCCTGGCAGGGTGTATTTAGGGGCAGAAAGGTTGCAAAGCCTGTTGGAACACTTAGGGCTCTGACACTCATTTCCTTCTCTTTCGATCAGCCTGTTTGGATTTTACTGTGTTTGCTGTGACCTTGCTTTGAAACCAGTTTGGAGTGGTTCTGTAGGGTCTGGAGTGGAGTCAGTTCTGTACTGTTTACCTGAGCAGGACCGCCATTCACTTTAGTGAGAGCAGTGCTTGACGAAGGACTGATACATTTATTAGCTAAAAATTGAAATGCGTGTTTGAGGCCAAGAAATACATTTAATTAATTATGCTTACAAAATTGTGGATCAGTCAGGCATAAAATGAGGTAGAATCCCATGCTCTTTTTCCCAAGGCACTGCTTGTTCCACAAAGTCTGGTTTTGCTTTCAAGAATAAGTATTATTTGTAGATGTGTTTTTACAGATTGTTAAAGTTTCAACTAATTTTAACTTGATGATTCTTTTTTTTCCCCCAGCTTTTGTTGCTGAGCACAACATCATATGGTATGGGGTATCCCTTGGGTCAGTTGTGGTCAGCTGTCCCAGCTGGGTGTCCTACCAAATTCTTGTGCGTCCCTAGCCCATTTGCTTGTGAGGCAGAAACAGAAAAGGCCTTGACTTTGTGTAAGCACCGGTCAGCAATAACAAAAACATCCCTGTGTTATCAACACGCGTTTGGTCACAAATCCAAAACACAGCGCTACACCTGCAGCTGTGGAGAAAAGAAACTCCCAGCCAAAGCCAGTACACCATGTATTTCAGATGTCCAATAATAATACTATGAGTGCTAACACTGGTAACTGAGTTATCTCTTTAAAGAAACTAGAATAATCCATCCATATCTCAGTACCCTGGGTAGTGGAACACAAGAGAGCACACTGTCACTTCTTTCTCACAATCAAAATGGAAAAAAAAAAGGGCTACCATTAGCCTAAAAGAAGCCTCCCAGCAATCTGATTATTATGAGAATGAAGCAGTATGGTTGAGTTCAGTTAATGCCATGAATATATTTAAACTGCTCAGTTAAGCCAGTTAGGGGAATCTGGCAGAGTTTATGTTGACCCTTTTCTGAATACTTGCAAAATCTGCTTTTAGTGAGCTGAAATTGTCTTTTGTATGGGGCAGGACTTAATTTTTAGAAACTAATGCTCTGCCCTGCTTACTTCCTGTCATTCCTTTCCCAGAAAGATGATGTATCTATCTCATGAGAATGAAGTGGCTAACAGAGATAAAGCCATATACTTCTGGGGTAAGCAGCAGCTGAGATATTTTAGGGAATGTACAGGATGAGTGGTTTTAACTTAAAACCTATGTAGTCCTTTCTGTTTCTGTATTGGGATATCAAGTATTTCATCACACTGCTAACAACAGAACAAGGGGGTTTGCTTGTTTGGTTGGGTTTTGCATTGTATTTTATTTGTTTTTTAAATAATTTGTCTTCTTCATTTGATACCTTTTTTCTTCCTGTAAGATTAAATTCAATAAGCTAACCCAAGTTTATCCTTTCAGCCAGTGTTCTATTGTCCCATCTCACAAATCCACAGTGCTGGAGAAATTTCAGGGAGCCATGAAGAATGTAGAAAGGAAAGTTTCTGGTGCAGAGGTGAGTGATCCAAACTTGTTCTTACCACGCTGAGAATGACTTTTTGATGTACTTCTGCAAAACTGGCTCCAAAATAGCATGCCATTTATTGTAATGCATTGGATTTTGTTGAAATATTCTTGTAGGTTAACTCTGTCACCTTATTTTAAATTGAGCAATATGTTATTCTAGGGTTAATTGAATTTTTTTGCATAATCAATCCTTGTAAGTAAAGAGGGTTGAATTAAGCTGTTGTTTAATATGAACTTACATTAACAATCACAGCATTGGTTCTATTCTTGAAGTCTGTATTAAAACAACCTTAGGCATATTTTACTATATTACATCCTTGCCTTTGAATGAAAGGTAGGCATGGCTGTGCATCTTGGCTAAGTTAAATTCTTTAGGTATTAGGACATCTAAAAAATTAGTTACCAGGTGTTTTAGTGCCTTTTAAGCCCATCATGTGAGTTTGTATCTAAATTACACATTTTCTGAAAGAAGACTGAAAAGGGTTTCAGCATTTAATCAGAGATGCTGTCCTTACTAGTGTTGCAGTATTAAGGAGATATTCAGATTATGGAAGTTGTTATTTAATAAATAGATATCATGCAGTAGCTGCAGATGCTACAGCATGCCTGATGTCTGGCACTGTATGAACTGCTTGAAGAGATAGTAATCCAAATGAACAGATACAGTAGATGATTAAGATAATATGCAAATTTAATGTTTAAAAGATGAGTAATGTGTTTATAAACATATCTGATATTCAACATATAAAAGTGTAATGTGTTTAACAAAAAGGTAACAAATTTTGCCTAACACCAGATACTCTCCTCCTTGTATTTTTACCGCTCTTCCTTTGTCTCTTGGCAGCATGCCTGTTACCCAGGGGTTAGTCTCGAAGGGTAAATGTAAAAAATTCATGAAGGTCCTAAGTTATGAAATTGAGGCTCCGCAATTTCTACTGAAATGCAAGTTTCCTTAAAGCCTTCTGTTTTTCAAGATCAATATTCCTCTCACTCATCGCCATCACTGTTGCAGTGATTTGATCATTATGTATGCATTACCACAGTCATGCTTTTGAAAGAACATGAACTGAAAAGAGAATTCATTAATTTAAAGACTGGTGGCTACATTCTGTTGCCATGATGACATGTATTTGAGTAGACTCTTTACTGGGGCTGTTTGTAGGGCAGAGCATTCTACAACCTGAGCAGGGGCACCAGGATCAGGTACTGTAGTTCTAACTGTTAGTTTATTTGAAAAATGCTGGCAACATTTTTACGGTGACCATGTATCAGTATGAATACAGCTTTGGTGTAAAGGGACAAGGAATGCTGCCAAAGTGAGGAGACAGAGAGCTTTTTATAGAGATGGCCTGTTATCTGCAGGCTAACACAAAAGAGAATTGTATTCCATTTATGTAGTGGACGAGCCTGCTTCTACACATTGCACCTTGAGTTTCCCTTCTGGGGGTCTTGACTAATAATAATATCAAGGTTAGCATTTTGGGTAGAATGAAGGGCATCCACCCTAATGACCACTGAGATGGGTGTATGCCGTAGGAACAAGTAAGACAGTCCTTCAGCCTGCATCAGTGGCCAGTTACAGCAAGGGGAGGTAGGAGGAGAAAAAAAATGACAAAGCCTGAAGCAAGAAGCAGGAAAGAATCCAGGGGCTATAAGGGGTGCCCCCGGAAATCATTCTCCTCTGTCTTTCCACATCTTTCCCCCAGAAGAATGTGATTTTTTATGCCTACAGAAATGCCTGACTTAGGAAGAGTGAATAAGCTTTCCATTATATCTCTGTTCTTCCATTCTTCCCCCACGTAACAAAGCTATTACTTTCCTCACTTGGCATTACACAAAATGGCT